CTGCCTCTTTCTCATTCGTTGTTTCTGTTGGGGTGGGAGATTCGAATTTCTCCCCTCCACGAAAATACGGGCTTTCCGTTTAACATTGTCTGCCGTCTCTGATATATACTCTCTGGGGGTTGGACTCGCTACAGGCAATCGAAGCCGGAACCTCAGTGGTGAAAGGCCACTGAGCCACGAGAGCATATTTATGTTTGTAATTATCTAGCAAGTCAATATAATTATTCTCGATATAATAGGTCTCATAATACCCACTCATATCGTAAATAAATATTTTGAATGTAATATGGGCTCTCTATCTAGTAGGGAATATCTCGCTATAACCATCTTAATGTATAGAAAGTTATTTATTTATAATACCAAATAGCCTACGGCCAATTACATAAAACAATAATTACTCAAGTTACTAAAATATTTCTCATTTAAAATAATTAAATATTGTTAAACGATAAATATACCTTTTTACTTCTTCTTTATACAAAGCAGCAAATTTTAAATTAGCCACTACAAAATTTCGACTGCGCAGGAGTCAAAGGATCACTGAAATTGGACATCAGTAATAACACAAATACTATGTGAATGAATTTGTAACGAATGAGCACTTCTTTACGTTACACTACAATTTCGTTTCATTTAGCATTTTCATGCTTCTTTTGTCAAACTCGAATTATCATACAAAACTTTACTTTCTATCATTAATTTATTTATGATTGTATATTAATAATTCCTGAACATATATTCAGTGATTCAGCTTCTAAATTTAGAACATGTACGATATATTTATGTTCGTAATTACCTAGCAAATCAATATAATTATTCAAATTTCTTAGAATTTTAGCACATTTAATCCTTTTTTGTAATATGTGTTTTAAAACAATTGCATACATTAAATGAGGATGAAACTTGACTTCCATTGTCTCCTTTGTCTTTTGTTCGTTTGAAATAATAATGAAGTAAACAGCAGTCATTGCATGTACAGCCCCAGTCGCGTCAATCTAGTGGATGTTTGTTCTTCGCCGTTTTGCTGCCAAAATGAGCCTTCCGCGAGTATTTTTCGATATCAGCGCCAATGGAGAGCCTATGGGAAGAATTATAATGGAGGTGAGTTAAAAGAATGTTTATAGAAGTTACACAACATATGTTTTATATAAGTAGAATTTTACTTGGTTTTAGTGGATTAAGAATCATAAATTTAGAATGTAAGGTTACAGATGAAATATATTGTTCAAATAATGGTTAATAAAGGTCTTGCGTAAATGAAATAAGGTGGAAGAATATCTTATTACAAAAATTCGAGTATGATATTTGCCGAAAGAAATTTCAGCCATATTGAAAATGGGATGTCTTTCAACAATACAGAATGATAGTGTTTGTAAAATTTGATATATATATTATACCGTTAGGATAATCATTATAGTTGATGTATGTTTCATTTCTTGCAGTTCAGAATGTCTTGTGAACATTTTTTAACTTTTCAAGATTCTTTTAGGATTGATGTAGGAATTGTTAGGGTATGTAATAGATCATTACTACCGTTAGAAATGAATATTCATCATTACATTTGTGGTGCCACAAGAACGTCTAGGAACGAAAGACATCTCAAAATTTCCTAAATCCATTATTGCAAGTGAATTCAATACTGTTCCATAAAATGCTTGCAATTTGCCAAATCTTATTTAATTTATTGCATGTTCATTTAGCTTACTAAGCAAGAAATTCAAATAAAAATATCGTACTGTATTTATTTTAGTATTCTCTTTGGCGCTGGATACGGCCAGGTGGGCGCGGCCGCGCGTAATATAAATCCTCTTAATCTGTTTTTCACCACCAAAAAATCAATCATTTAAAAACGAAATCACAATATGTAAGGAGACGAATTTAAGCAACCTGAGAAACACGTTTCTTTCAGCATCTATTATTGTCAAAGTATGTAATCTGTTGAAATGTGATACCAATAAGCAATTGCATATTAAGTGAATGTTTTTACAATAAGAAGCAAACAGATCACAAATAAAGCGGCAAACTTGAAAAATAATATATTTGAGGATTGATCACTTGTATTTGCCCCACACATTTATAAAGGGACAAACGTTTTGCGGGCGGGCCCGCCCTTATTTCGTTACGCTACTGTCTACCCTTGTCAGAGGTGATCCATACTATACCCATTCTTCAGCACAAAATGCTGCAACTTCTTGTTCTCACAAACTGCATAAACTCTATAATTATGTAGAATGTCCGTAAATTGAAAACTGATGCGTGGATATTCAGTAGTGTTGAACAACTATGGATGTTTCATTGTTTATTCTCCTTCATTGGTTCAAATGATGTGAATTTGTTTTTAGCTAGCTTTTGCCATTGCCCTTCATTTCAGTTGCGATCAGATGTAGTACCCAAGACTGCAGAAAACTTCCGAGCTTTATGCACTGGAGAAAAGGGATATGGCTACAAGGGCAGCAGTTTTCATCGAATTCTTCCAGATTTTATATGCCAAGGGGGAGATTTTACAAATCACGACGGCACTGGTGGAAAATCCATTTACGGAAACAAATTCGAGGATGAGAATTTTATTTTGGCGCATACCGGCCCAGGTATATATAATTCATTTTTAATTTAAACTTACGTTTTCTTGAGCTAAAGAAATGCATTTTCAGGTGTCTTATCTATGGCCTGTTTCGCACCGCATGCTAACGACAGCCAGTTTTTCATTACAACTGCCAAAACAAGTGTGCTTGACAATCACCACGTTGTGTTTGGTAATGTTGTTGTTGGCATGGATGTTGTGTTTAAAGTAAGTTGAACTGAAGTAAGATACACAAGTTTTCAAAATGTTTAAACTGTATTTTTAAGGTTTATTGTACTTTTCAGATGGAGTCATTTGGATCCGACAATGGCAAACCTTCTAAGAAAGTGATAATTACTAATTGCGGTCAACTCGCTTAAATACATGAAAATGTTTCCAAATGTTCCTCACTATTATGTACACATTAAGTAAATAGTTTTGGGGGAAAATCTTAATTGAGGCTTAGTAATATAAAAAAGCTTTACTTGTCAATTCTCTATTAAACATAGGACAGTTATGTAAAAATTGTTCAATAAATTTCGTTGAAAAAGCAGTAGTTAATTTTATCATGTAAACAATTGCACTTACTAACGTAAAAAGAGAAAGTATTGTAATCGTGCGCCGGAAAATGCGACTTTGTAGTACAAAAACTCTTATTGCGACGCCCTGGTAAAGGACAAGTGGATAAATCCAGTCGCTAAATATACAAAAAGTTCCTCTGATACGTGGTGGAGCTAGAATCCATGTTTTGTTCGTCCTTGATTCCGAAAAATCGATTGACGGCAAAACGTCTGTCTCCACAACGCTAGCACATGAACCTTTCTGCCGATTTTCTCCAAAATGGATATTCCTCAATCATTCTGATGTCGCAGCCTCTAGAATTTAAAACAGATATTTTAATTATGGGGATTCTTTACATAAAGCCTCGCCGACGTTTTAAATGTCTCCATAATTTTGTTGTTTGATTGTGGGAAGAACATTAATTAAAAAGAATTAATGTATTATTATGTACATATATTATTTTCGATAAAATTCTTGATTTTTCGAAAATTACAAAATGTCGAAGCTAAGTGAAACGTGTATTGGGCGCATGAAAAGTTTGATTCGGTACGTCACCAAGCAATTCCCAGCATGTTTTTGCAGTCTCCGTGACCCCAAACTCTCAAACGCGGCAGGAAAGAGGCGTGCATAAGCGCCAAGCGTGACATTCGTAAGGAAAAAGTTTATTTTCGTCCAGACAAGTAACCATGCCAATTTCTTCAATACTCATTAATTCTTTCGACAAAGTAATAATCTTTGTCAATTCTGTGTCGGTTTTTTTTCAGAACTCTCTCGTCTGATGAGAACACAAAAGGCGATGCCCATGGCAGTTTTCGCTAATTCTCTCCCAATTCATCTAAGCAATATTTCGCAGCCTCAACAGATGGCGATAATAGATGTTCGCAATATTTCTGTACTATCTCAAATATACCTACTTAGAGGTCCAGTGTTGCCAGACAGTGTTACCGGACATTTCCAGCGATTTGTATATATTACTGCATTTGTGAGTGAAAGGTCTTCAAATGATTTCAAATGAAGTTTTTCGAAAACACAAAAGATTCTTGTGAAAGATCTTGAAATTGCGTATTTACACTAGAGCTTAAACGATTTTTCTTAAAAACAGCTCCAAGTGTTTCAACGAAAATTTTCATATATAACGAGGGTTTACTCTTCTTTAATATTGTAAAAGTAATATTTCGAATTAACACTAGGAAACCTAAAAATTGAAAAACTTTAAAAAATTTGGGGTCGCGATAGATGGGGCCAAGAAGATGGGGGCGAGATCGTAAAGCTAGCCCACACCGCGAATGGTTTTATTACGATAACATCTGTGCCATTTTATAGCATCACTAGTTCTCTCTAATTAGTATTTACTGAAGAAAGAAAAGGGCCAATCACATTTCTGTATGTCATAAGAAATAAGACAAAAGTTTTGTAAGTATTAAGACAGAGATAGCAGTGAAAAAGTACTGCGCATACGCATTCCGATTTCTTAGTAGAACATGCATGCTCATTTTTACTGCCCAGCTTCCTCAAAAATTCTCATCGCGACTCTTGAGATTCCGCATTCGGCGAATCTAGCTCTGGCAACACTGCAGAAACTTCGTATTGATTAATGTTGCACTAAATTTTCGTAGCATTAATTAGACTGTTGTCAAAATTAACATTTTATTTCCGGATTAAAATTTCTCTTCACTAAAATTTAAAAAAATGAAGTACCTGATTTGATTAATGCCTCCTCTCCTAACACACTGTGTGTAGATAAATTTTAAACGGGGAATAATTTCAAAACAATTACATCAGGTTAGTAGTAAAAGATGGCGGAAAGAAAAGGTAAACGCGAAAGGAAATTAGTTAAATTGCCAGAATCGCGAGTTAAAACTATTATGAAAAGTTCGCCAAATGCTATAAATATTGGGAAAGATGCATTGTTTCTACTTAATACAGCAACGGTAAGTTCATTATTAGTGGTTTTGCATTTTTTGTTCAATGTTTTGTGAGAATAAAATAATTTCAGATTATTTCTCTTCCAACTAGAGTATTCATTCTTCATATATTAGAAAAAAATATCCACGTTTGAGGTTCATGTAATAAATATATATTACGTATTTACTGATTGTGTGTATGTGTTATTGAATGGAGGGGTCTGATTGCTCTGCTATATTAATAACTGCGTCGTGAAAATCACAAAACATTAACAAAATTTCTTGTTAAATATAAATATTCAATATTACTTCTCTAATTTAATAGAAGAATTTGTAAAAATAAGCTAATTTCTTTATGAAATGAACATACGTTACAATAAATCGATGTAACCTCAAAGATGGAACTCCAAAGAGTTTTATTTTTTCGCAAAGTATTTATGTGTATGCACGTGTATTCTCAGAACTCTTTCCTATGATGTAATGACAGGCTATGTTTATTCAATATTTCGACAAGTCTGATTATGTCTTATCAAAGAATAAACAGGAGTTGCATTGTAATGCTGTAGAATAAATTGTTCAGATAAATGCAATATGCCACTTGTTAAAGGTAATATGCTATTTTATTTAACTTTGTATTCTATGGAAATATGAAAAAGTTGTTCTGTTTTAAACTTAGGAGTTTGCTTTCATTCAGAAATGATGCCTAGAACTATCACCTTGAGTCAGTATAAGGAAATAATTGCAGCCAGAAGTTTAAATATTGAATAAAAAAGTTCAGAAGTAGAAAGTGATATGACTGACAGTACGTCTAGTGAAGAACAAACTCTTGTATTGTAGTTCAAGATGAATGAAAGAAAGCAAATTGAAGTATGTTTAAAATAACACTATGTTGTTCAAATTTTGGTAAAATATATTTAATATTTCCAACTCATAAAGTTGTAGGATAGTATGCATTTATATGGCCATACTGTTTTATATATCACTGAGAAAAAAGAGTTATACCGTCTTTACATTGCAAATTGTTGTGCACATTACTAGAATTGTAATAAGACAAATAATAAAATGATATGATCTGGAATTCAAATTTCATTTTTATCTTGTTTCTAGGTTAATGATGTCGCATTTGGTGAAAATAAGATTGTATAATGTAATTATATGTTATCTATCACACCTGATATAGGACATTGGCAGTATTTCAAGTCTAACAAACAAGGATGGAAGGATCAAAAGAAACACAGCTACATTATGGGATATTGTTTTGTGTAATAATGTGTAAGGGGGTAAGCAGGGGGTGTGGTTAGCACGTCGACATCCCCACGCCCAATTCCGGGCTTCTCAACCTGAGAAGTGAATTTTCTCATCATCACACATCAACGTATACTGTAACATTGCAAGGAAAACGCACACTATAATCTTGGCTCAACCGGAAATCGAACATGGGACCGCGGAGTGGAAAGCGAGCACGCTGGCCATGTTTTATTTTTACGCAACCTTCCTACGATCACCACTGCATATATTTTATGGGAAAAATTGCAAAATTGCTATTTTATATTGCAAGGAGGAGTATACAATTAAAATAAAGAAAGAAGCAAACTGAATGTCTTCACATCATGCGCCGTGCGTGTAAGCCAAAAACAATTAGTAGAATGTGTGACAAACTGGATAGGTTAATTGTGACATATAGGTTATTTTAATAAGGTAGATGAACCCATTGCCTGCAGGACCAGATATGCTATCTCTTATATCACTAAAATGGTGGTTTGAAATGACTGAAACAATCAAAATAAAATTATTTAATAGTAAAGAATTTAGACATAAAATAAACAATCAATACCCATATGAATTAGTATGTCATAATTATGCCTTAAAAGTTAAACTAAAATACTACAAATAGCCACTAGTGCACAATTGAATAATTGCGAAAACACATTGATCATTAGACAAACGCTCTCATGAAATTTTAGAAAGCTCTCATTAAACCATTCAAGACCAACTCCTTATGAACATCAGCAAACCAGTCTCCAAAATCCATTAATTCTTGATCCAAAGAAATCTCTCCTAAATATTGGGTTACAAACAATTACCCTGTAATTATAGCCCATAAAACCCTACTTACCTTGGCCTAACAATGCAAGGAAAAGTATAGTGGATTGCTTACACAGTTAATTTTAACAAGAAGCTCAACAACTTGCTATTTTTGATAGACTACTACCTTCAATCAAGCTCCAACATGAACATTTTGATATTCCAACCAAGAATAAAGTGGGAAATACTTGCACTAACTTTTCAAGTATGAAATACTAGTCTGGAGCAATATCTCTTAAAGCTCTTGCTCATTTATTATTCAATAAAGAATACTGCAATGAACAACTATGAAGCCAGAAGTTAAAAAAGTAATCATTCTTCCTCTAATAGTATGTACATATTTGAAACAGCATTATTCATATATGTGAATTTCATGGACAACGAAGACACTTTAACTCTAAATTCAAAAGTACCTAATTGTAATTCTAATCAAAACAATAATCTACATGTTGATGTCTACTCTCAATCTATACTGTATAAAGAGTAGCTTCCCCAATAAGAGAGTTTAAACATGCGACCAGTATTGCCAGAAGTAGATTGGCCGAATACGGAATCTCAAGCGCCGCGATGCGGATTTTTGAGGAGGCTGGGCAGTAAAAATGCTGATATGAATGTGGATATAAATGCGCATGCGTATTCTACTATGAAATTGGAATGCGCATGCGCAATACTCAGGCTGCTTTCTCTGTCTTATTACTATTACAAATCTCTTGTCATCTTTGTTATGACATGTACAGAAATTTAATCAGTCCTTTTCTTTCTTCAGTAAAAACTGATCAGAGAGAACTAGTGGTGCTACAGAATTGCAGACTTTCTCATTGGAAAACTTT